TGATGCCTTGAAGTTCAGGTGTTGGTGGTAACTTGCTCCAAGGTAGGGATGAGTGGCACACGGGACTGAGTGGTGGCCTCAATCCTTCTGATCAAGGGGAGGCATCTGGGTTGAGCAGATGCAGTCAGGGATCCAGGGCCTGGCTGCAGAGCTGATTTCCCCAGCAAGCATTGAGCTGCTTTGTTTGTCTTCCTTCATTTGGAGGGGAGAAAAGGACGACTGGTGTAATTCACCTTACTCAAAGAGGGGAAAAATCAGTGATCGGGCTTGGCAGCCTGCTGAGGATGGCTTTACTGTAAGTTCGTCAGAGGATGGGGGCCAAAGCCCAGAAGGGAAGGAGGAGCTACAAATGGAGGAGACACATGAGGTAAAAAAATTCCTGCTCCAAAAGGAGAATATTCAGAGGCTGCTCTCCGGTGACTGCACGCTAACGCTCAGAGCGTGAATTTGCAGGTCCTGTTTTTTCCCCTTGCGTGGTCACAGGGCTGTGACTTGACTGGAATCGCAGAGCCTTGGGGTAGCGTACATGGCTGGAATGCAGTCGTGGACGTGCAGCAGTTGTTTAGAAAGAAGAGAGGACATCGTGTGTCACAAGGAGCTCCCTGACTGCAGAGGCCTCCAGCATGAAATTGGAGACTGGCCTGTTGAGATCAGAGGAGGGAGGAAGGTCAGGGATGGTGTTTTGGTCTCTGTTACAGACTGCCTGGCTGAGAAGATAATAGATGATGCTTTCTGTAGGTAACTTAACGGGAGTCTCCTGCTCACAGACCTCTCACCATGAAAGGTTTCAGCCGTCTGTCCGTCTGCAAGAACGGCTGCATAGCCTGGTGGAAGCAATCGAAGAACGTTGGGACTGTGCTTGTGAAGGTTTCCTAATGCAAATGGTAGAGAGGCTTACCAGGAGTTACGCTGCGCTTACACAGAGACAAACAGAAGAACTGATGTCAAATACCACAAAAGCTGCAGCGACCACAGTAGGAATGTGAGAGTGGGCACTGAACTGAATACAAGCCAGCACTGAATGCTCATTGGAACTAAGACAAATGGTGGCCTGGTTGTATTGGGAGAGTGTGGCCAGCAGGTCGAGCAAGTAGACAACTATATTTGTTATCATACAAGTCAGAAAGATAAAAGACATTTCCTTGCGTACTTTTTCTTGGCTATGCCCCTTTGAGAAAGCAGCAAAGCAGTTCTCAATCCAGACTAATTTACCAGGTCCACAAAGAAATATTTGTTTACGATACAGCCCTTAAAATTTGTGCTGGCTACTGCTGACAGCGTGTAGAAGTATACTTATCTTTAAAGTCCTGTTCAGCAGTGTTAGAAACATCTCCAACCCTTTACGCAGTCCTCCTCAGCAATGTAGAAATCCAGTAAGGTTTCGTAAGAAAAGAATCCATTCATATAGTCCTGTTGCTATGGTGATTCAGTGCTCATTTATGTGAAATTTCTTAATGGGCCTTTGTTCGTCTGAATTTCCTTTTAATTCCTTTCCCAGTTACCCTTTAGCACCCATCAGTGAAAATTCTGTTTGGAAGAGTCTCGTGTTACTGAATTCCTGGAAGCTCAAGCTTGCTTTACCAGTAGGCGAACGCGTTCATACCCTACATATAGAAGTCTGCCAGGGCTGGACAGGCAAAATGAGTCAGTGGATCTTCAGGAAATCTGAGCTAGTGGGAAAAAAAAATACGTAAAGGACAAGAGGGCTTTTTGTTTTGTGTGGGTCTTTTGGGGTGTGTTTTAAAGATGGGGAAGAATAGTGTAAAAATGTTGGTAGTTCAGTAGAGATCTGGTGCTTGTTCTTCTCTGGCAGCGCCTGTGATGGGCAGCCGTTTGGATACATCATCCTTAAGCAGACTGAGGAGGAGAAGCAGGTTCTGTGGCCCTTTAAAGAAAACCATGTTACATGATGACTTAGAACTAGAGAGTCTACAATCCATACGCCACATTAAAATTGTATAAACAAACTTCAGTCCAGTGACTTTTCTGGCAAAAGAAAGATTATCCCGAATGCCAAGTGTCAGGAGAGGCATTCCAGCCATCAGTGGCAGATTCTCATATGTTCTTGCTAACAGTACCACAAAGCTGGAGCAGTTGCAATCCAGATGACGAGAGATGCTCTTGCGCCCCTTTCATATTTTCTCCTGACAAGAACACTGGGGAAGAAAAGCGACGCTGGTTAGCTGTGGTGGTGCTGTTTCTAGCTAGGGAGACCGTGATGACATGACACAAAGACCCTTCGTTCCCCTTTCCATGTAAAAGAGATTCAAAGGTAGAATATCAGAGTACCCTTTACTCCCCGCTTCCTTTTGGCCACCTGGTGACATTAAGTCCTCTCGTTGGCTGTTTTCGTGGGCTCGTGTGTATTCGTGCTCTCTTGGCTTCTGAGCTCTTTGGTACGCGCTATACCTGCTAGCCTGGGGTTCGTACGTGGGAGCCTGTAGTAGGCCACCTCCAGAAACCTTTTGGCTTTGCCCATCCATAACAGCCATAACCTGCTGTAAGCTAACTGCTCCTTTTGGACATGAGGAGCATGCTGTGATTTTAGCGGTATTTGCTGATTTTTTTATTTTTTTTTCTTTTTTCAAACTTGCGAAGAACTGCAGAACTAAATTTTCAAAGCATGTCAGGAGGATTCTGTTCTTATTTGCACCTCCTCACTCATAAAGATTGAGCTTCTTTCTGCAAATATCGACTGGGCTTCCAGGCCCAGGGCAAAATATGATGATGTCACCTAGAAATCCTCTAGCAACAGTTGTGGCTTAATGAAAACATTAAAAATACTTGGTTTATCTCCTCCTAGAATGATGTGGCAAAGAATTTCCACCTCTGGCCTGGGAATTTGGCAGTGATCTAGTGCTTCATTTTACTTGGAGTATTTTTCTACTATTACCTAAAAAGAATAAAAAAGGTTACTTGGTAATACAACATCTGGGTTTGCTTCAAGACTTTTACATCAGAGTATTTTTAGTATGTAGCACTGTAGTGGGATTCCACTAATAAAAAAAGCAATAAAAGGATGCAAACCCTTTCATGCTAGGATGTCAGTGTTACAAAAACGAATGCGCTTGTTACTAAGGTATTCTGGGATAATTATGGCTTGCACACTGGATAGCAGGAGGATTGCTAAATCATTATGGAAATGTATGTCTGACCTGCTTTCATTTCAGTGTTTCAGTGAATCCTAACACTGTTTATAAACTTTTAAGTAGGAGATACCAAGTTGCCATTCTTAATTTTTATTCTAGTGTCTGAAGGAAAACTAGGTTTGCACAGTTGGACCATAAAATCATTGATCCCATTCCTCCCTCTGCTTTCCCCCTCATCCTGTTCCCACTCATCCAGTGGTTTTGCAAGTGTTAGACAATTTTAATCTGGTTTCACAAAGATTGCAAGGTGCAGCTGACGTGAAGATGGGATCCTGGAAGCGTAGCGTGCTAACCGATCGATCAGCATGCACATACTGACCATCAGATTCTCATCAACTTTGGAACCAGCCGCAGCAAATGTTCTCTTTCTCAGCTAACTGCTGGATGGAGATGCTGATGGGGAAGGAGGATCCTGGGAAGAGTCACGGTTGGAGTGAGAGTAAGGGGTTGTAAGAGACCTGAAAGTTGGAGTTGGGATAATTCTGTGTGAAGGTAGATAGGATTCAAGTTGGTTTAAAAATAAAATATTAATAATTAAAAAAAAATTTTACCTGTTTATTAAATGACTGACTCATCTTTTAATGGAAGAACAAATGAAAAAAGATAAAACATATCAGCATTTTGTTTATAAATTAGATGAAGAATTTTTGTTCCTTCATCTCTTAGGACTTTTCCCAGCAGCGCTGGGAGCGGATTCACTTCAAATTCAGCTGCATAAAATGTTTCCTGTTTTAATTAAGAGGCATTGCTGGCCAATTGAAATATTTAATTTGTGTTGCTGTGTTTCAGCTGGAAGGTCACAACGAGCCGGTGGTGCTGCAAGTATTCGTGGGTAATGACTCCGGTCGAGTGAAGCCGCATGGATTCTACCAGGCCTGCAGAGTTACTGGGAGAAACACTACTCCCTGCAAAGAAGTGGATATAGAGGGCACTACTGTTATTGAAGTCGGACTGGACCCGAGCAACAATATGACACTTGCGTGAGTCGCTTTTTTTTTTTTTTTTTTTTTTTTTTTTAGTATTTTCATTTATTAGCTTGTTTTCAGAAACTGCTTTTCCTTTTTTGATTGGATTGGTTCGTAGTTAAAGGTCTGGAACATCTTGGCATTTAGTGAAGCTACCTGTAGAAGAAAAACTTTGAAATCTCATTCTTAGTTTGTGTTTATTATACTTAATGCTTAATCTGGTCTTCCCTGAAACTTTATCAATTAACTTTGTTACATTAGTTTCATGTTCTGTTTGGACAATAATGTGCATATTCAAGCACTATGTGAACTATAAACTGGTCCTGCTGGTTGTCTTGCCTTTTAACAAGCATAAAATTGCTAATCAGAAGAGGGAAGGAGAATATTGGCATCATCCGTTCCCTTTAGGCCCGAAAGGCTGGGCATTGTGGCTAGTGAGGCTAAACTCTGGCTCTTCTCCTCTTGCTTCACTTGTTCCATTTCTGTCATTTCCACCAGACTGTCCTTTGTCACGGAGGCCTCCTGCTTTGCTGTCTGTACAGAGCTTGCCCGGTCAAGTAGAGGCACCGTAGCGAATACAGTTTACAGATGCACGTAGGCAGTGCGTGGCCGCTGCTGGCAGGGGATGCGCTTGCCCTGATGGCCGTGGTTAACGGCAGTAGATTTTTGAGCAAGTGGCCTCATCTGCCTGTGTGGTTTAGCTCTCGCAAGAAACCTGAGATATAGGCGATTCCCTAATAAGCTTTTCACATGTATCAATAAATATAAAGGGAGTGATCTTCTTTCAACGTGTTCTTTTCAGTAGAATGTCTTTTAATGGAGGCGTGGTTGAAAGCTGCCACTCTTTGCTCAGAAGCTTGTCTTCTTTCAACAGAAGAAAGGTTTCTTCAATTTACCATGTCCACTTCTTAAGCAGGATAGTACAGTTTGCTAATAGACTGAATAAATTTGATTTTTAAAAAAAATATATATTTAAAATATATTCCCATGATAAGAGGCAGTTTCCAAACTTGAGAGTAATTTTATAATTGTCCTGAAGTGTTAATGTAAACCCATACAAGTACAGGGATACTAGACAGATGAATTTGGAATTATCTAGGAAAAAACATTTTGCCTAGGCTGTTTTCTCAAAAAAACCCTTGATGTCTCAAAAGAAATGTTCCCAGGGGTTCAGTGATGCTGTAGCACCTCTCTGTTGGTGGGAATGCCAGTGCCACCCTCTGAATTGCACTCTCCCCTCCTCCCTAGCTGTTGCTTGTTGGCCCTGAAGCAGCACAAAAATTCGTTCTACTCAAATTAGGTATCTGATGGTCCCTGTACGTTTTGGACGTAGGGCCTAAGATCCTGGTAAATTTACAATATTATTCTTCTTAACACATCAGGCTGTGTTTGGGGTTTTTGGTTTGTCTGTTTTTTTGCTTGAAATAATTTTGCATCTCGCATGTCTTTCTGAAAGTTAGCCCTGCGCCACTCTCTCACCCTGGCCCTGTATACATTTCCCGTAGGACCACAGTTATGGTATGACGTATCTATCACTTCCAAGTTCCACTGAACATAAAAAAAAAATATGACGACAGTAAGTTTTCTTCTACTACTGCTTTAAGTGAATGCAGAACATTTTGTAGTAGTAATCTTAAACCCCCAGATCTAGCCCCAGGAATGGAAGAATGAAGATCTGTGATTATAAATTGAATGCTTACCAGAATGACTTTATGACATTGCATTTTCTGTTTTATTCATATGACTTTCATATTGCGTCCTCCCATGATTCATCATTCAAATTATGTAGGGATGAATTGAAAACCGGGTGATATAATGAGAAAGGTCATACAGAGATTTCATGTAAATAAAAAAAAAAAAATGTAATAATATTTCAGTAATTACTTCAAGAGTTTGACTTTGTGGCTTGTGTAACTTGTGGAAAGATTATTAAAGATGCTGAACTTCTTAAACTCTATTAAACTCTCAACTATTTTCTGTTGTTAGGGTTGATTGCGTGGGAATACTGAAGCTGAGAAATGCTGATGTTGAAGCTAGGATAGGGATTGCTGGTTCCAAGAAAAAAAGCACACGTGCTAGGCTGGTATTTCGTGTTAACATCACTCGCAAAGATGGTTCAACTTTGACTCTTCAGACACCTTCTTCTCCGATTTTGTGCAGTAAGTATCAAAATCAAAAGTTGGTATTAGAGGACTCTGGATTTTAGTGCGATTGCCATAAAATGCCTCGGGGAAGAAGCCAAGCCAGTGTTAATCTGTGATTATTTCACAATTGCTATGGCTAAGATCACATGGATTGATTTTTATTTGGGGTGGGGTATTAGTTAAATGAGTGACCGGTATTTAAAAGTAGTTATAACTTTTATGAAATGAATTTTTGCCTTTTAAAAGGTCAGAATTTTTGTCGTGATTGCTTTGAACTTACCGTATGACTTTCTTGATACAGGTTTTAATCTCTCCTGTCTTGTCACGGTCATCTGTCCTTTCAGTGATAGAAAGGACTGCTAATAAGTTAGTAAGCATGGCTCTTTACAGTTGTGGTAGTTTGTTGGGCCAGAGGCTGAATCTGTTCTGGTTCAGTGCAAGAATGAAACTTTTTATATCTATTTATGGAAGTGCTGTGTTTAGCACTGAGCACAGATGGCTGCACTGAGTGGTTAGGTTATACTGAGCTACAGGGAGAATGACATCAGAGGAGGCTGCCGTACATCCGGGGCTGCCTGTGCGTATACGGTCTGTGGTGACTTCCAGTCATCGGGAATTCTGCTCATCTGTCAGAGAGAAGAGATAGGGAAATGTGTTTAATACAGCTGTTGGTTGGATTATTGATGAACAAGGTGATGGGAAAGCTTTTCCTCCATGCATGGAGCACAGTATGATTATGCAAGCTCCTGCACGCTTGTGTTGTGCTCTTTCCATTGCACAAAAAGCAGTTATTGTTTTTGGGTTTTTTTTCTAAACACTGTCAGTACCTATTGTGTCAGGGCTCCTATTCAACTCGTCAGAAACTGCAGCTTTGTTGCCAGCGAAAGAACAGATTGGAAGAGGAGATAATTAGAAACATGTGAGCTTCCACATCAGATGCCACCATGCGATTGCAGTGCTGCAGGCAACAGGCGATGGGCAGCTGTGCCGTGCAGCCCGTCTCCCCTTCCAGTGTTCTGCTCTCCCAGAGAATCCCTTTGCAGGACTCAGGGAGAGCAGGAACCCTGCGGAAACCCTGAAAAGGCTGATAACCAGAGACGCGTCACTGCTGGTGCAGCGGAGGACCCTCCTCCTCTCTTCAGCCATGCTCTGTGCTTTAGGCAACAGTTTGGCATTCGGGGTGATCTTTTGGGGTGCTCTTCCAGAAAGGTTGAGGCATTTCTGTCCCTCTTTTTTCCTCCTCCTGCCACATCTTTTTTTCCAGTGGTGCGTTTGTTTGGTTCTTTTTTTGTTTTGTTTTTTTTTAAACTAATTAGAGTTCTCACATTCATGCATTTATGTTGTTGGAAAATACGTAAGTACATTTGGCGGAAACGTGGCTGTTCCTGTAGCTCCATTCCAGTCAGTATAGCATTGTAGTATCTGATACTCATTTTCAGATTTAAGAAAAAAAACATTTTCTGTAAAATCTCCAAAAGCTATTTCTGTATACATTTTGTTTATATCATTAACTTCCTGGTTAAAGATCAAATTATTTAAATCATAGCAGAAATGGGAACGGAAATCATCTGGTGTTTTCTTAAACACATAACAGTCCAAAACTGTAAGCAGAAGCTGCGAATCTGAGGTGGTTTGCAGACTGATTTTATAATAGGCTGTTTAGCTAAAAA